GGAAGAAGAGGAATTCCTTCTTAACTCATTGTATGAAACCAATATCATCCTGGTACCCAAATCTGGCATGGACACAACAAAAGAAGAAAACTGCTGGCCAGTATCCTTGATGAACACACATGCAAAACTCTTCAACAAAATACTGGCAAATGAAATCAAACAGCAAATCCAAAAAGATAACTCATCATGATCAAGTGGGTTTTATTTTAGGAATGCAAAGATGGTTCAACATGCGCACATCAATAAATGTGATTCACCACATAAACAGATTTAAAAAAAAATCCATATGTTCATCTCAATAGATGAAGAAAAAGCATTTGATAAAATCCAGCATCCCTTCATGATAAAAACCCTCAGCAAACTAGGCATCAAAGGAACATACCTGAAAATAAGAGCCCCATATGATAAACCCATAGCCAACATCATACTGAATAGGCAAAAGTTGAAAGCATTTCCCCTAAGAGCTGGAACAAGACAAGGATATCCACTCCCATCACTCCTGTCAGCATAGTCTTAGCCAGAGCAAACAGGCAAGAGAAAGAAGTAAAAGCCATCAAAATTATAAAAGAAGTAATTACCTGTTTGTTGATATTATCTTATACTTAGAAAACCCTAAAGATTCCTGCAAAAGACTTTTAGAATTGGTAACTTCAGTAAAGTTTCAGGATACCAAATTAATATACAAAAATTAGTGGTATTTCCATACACCATCAGTGCTCAAACAGAACCAAATTGAGAGCTGAAATCAATTTACAGTAGAGACACACACACACACACACACACACACACACACACCCCCACCCACCCCTAGGAATACATTTAACCAAGGAGAGGTGAAAGACCTTTACAAGGAGAAGTACAAAACACTGATGAAATAAATCATAAATGATACAAACAAATTGAAACATTTCATTCTTATGGATTAGAAGAATATCATTAAAATAACCATATTACTCAAAGTAATCTACAGATTCAAGGCAATTCCCATCAAATTACCAACATCACTTTTCACAGAATTAGAAAAAACAATCCTAAAATTCATGTGGAACCAAGAAACACCCCAAACAGCCAAAACAATCCTAAGCAAACAACAAAGCCGGAGGCATCACATTACCTGACTTCAAACTATATTACAAAGCTGTAGTAAGCAAAACAGCATGGTACTGGTATAAAAATAGACACACTGATTAATGGAACAGAATAGAGAACCAAGAAGTAAAGCCACATACATACATCTGACTGAACTTCAACAGAACTAACAAAAATAACAGGGAAAGGACACCCTATTCAATAAATGGTGCTTGGCAAATTGGCTAGCCATGTACAGAAGAATGAAACTGCACCCCTGTCTCTCACTATGCACAAAAATTAACTCAAGATGGATTAAAGGCTTAAATGTGAGACTGAAAATTATAAAAATCCATGAAAAAAACCTAGGAAAAACTCTTCTGGACATTGGTTTAGGGAAAAGATTTATGAGTAAGACCTCAAAAATAAATGCAGCAAAAACAAAGACAAATGGAACTTTATTAAGCTGCTGCACAGTGGAAGAAACAAGAGAGTAAACAGACAACCTACACAACGTGAGAAAATATTTCCAAGCCATGCATCTGAAAAGTGACCATATTCAGAATTTACAAGGAACTCAACAAGAAAAAAACTTATAACTCCATTAAAAAAATGGACAAAGGATATGAACAGACATGTCTCAATAGAAGACATACAAGCAGCCAACAAACGTAAAAAAAAGCTTAACATCACTAATCATTAGAGAGGTGCAAATCAAAACCACGGTGAGATGCCATCTCACACCAGTCAGAATGGCTATTATTAAAAAGTTAAAAAATAACATATGTTGGTGAGGATGGGGAGAAAAGGGGAATAATTATAACACTGTTGGTGGGAATGAAAACTGAAAATTAGTACAACCGCTGTGGAAAACAGTACAGAAATTTAGGAAATAACTAAAAATAGAATTACCATTTGATCCAGCAGTCCCACTGCTGGACATCTACCCAGAGGAAAAGAAGTTACTGTATCGAAGTGATATCTGCATTTGTATGTTTATCACGATAAATGTAAATTATCAAAGTAGCAAAGTCATGAACTCATCGTAGCAAAGTCATGGAATCAATTTAAGTGTCCATTAGTAGTTGATAGGATAAAGAAAATGTGGTGTATATATACCATGGAATACTATGCAACCATAAAAAAGAATGAAACTGAGACTGGGCCTGGTGGCTCATGCCTGTAATCCCAGCAGTTTGGGAGGCTGAGGCAGGTGGATCACTTGAGACCAGGAGTTCAAGACCAGCTTGGCCAACATGGCTAAACCCTGTCTCTACTAAAACTATAAAAATTAGCCAGGCATAGTGGCACATGCCTGCGATTCCAGCTACTTGGGAGGCTGAGGCACAAGAATCACTCAAACCCGGGCAGAGGCTGCAATGGCCTGAGCTGAGATCATGTCACTGCACTCCAGCCGGGGCAACAGAGCAAGACTCTTTCTCCAGAGAAAAAGAAAAAAAAAGAAGAAGAATGAAGCTGTATCCTTTGTAGCAACATGGACAGAGCTGGAGGCCATTATTCTAAGTATAATAACTCAGAAACAGGGTATCATATACTGCATGTTCTCACTTGTAAGTAGGAGCTAAACAGTGGGTACACATGGATGTAAACATGGAAATAATAGACATTGGGGACTTCAGAAGTGGGGAGGATGGATGGCGGATAAGAGTTGAAAAATTACCTATTGGGTACAGTGTTCACTGTTTGGGTGATGGGTTTCTAGAAGCCCAAACCTCACCACTATGCAACATGTTCATGGAGTAAACTCACACATCATGAATCTAAAATCTAAAAAAATACCTGTATCCGTGTTCAGGGCCTTTTTCATACTACTGCTACCTTGCCTACATTCCTGGGCTAAGACCATTTGAAATTGTTTATATTTTTCTTAATGCTCCCATCTATTCTTCCTTTAAGGCTGTATTCAGACTTTTATTTTCTCCACTCCATCTAAGGGTTAACTGTTCAATGTTGAGACCCCATAGCACTTTAAATCACACACTGGTTTTGTTTTCTGCCTTTCTCCTTCCTGTTACATCGTGAGGACAGCCTCTTTTCATCTTTCTGTGCTGTGATACTGACAGTGTGTGTAGGTACTCGATAAATGGTTCTTTCCAGTTAGAATTAATTACTCCTTCCTTCCTACGTCTAATCAGTTGTTGTCTCCTGTGTTTGGCACTGTATTTCAGTTTGTAGTATACTACTTTGTATTGATCTTCATACCTGCACTGAAGTAATTTTGAAGACAAGGATTGGACTTTTCTTTTGTCTTTTTGAGACGGTGTCTTGCTTTTCTTTTCTTTTTTTTTTTTTTTTTCTTTCTTTTTTTTTTTTTTTTTTACTTCACAGTGGTTTAATATGAACAGAGTTGAATGTGACATTGTCTGACAGAAGAATGAACAGTTTGCTGAATAAAAGCCCCGAGTCAGGATATACATACACAGCAGAAAAGGGGCCTCAGACTCTCAGCACTTGTGCACAATGAAAGAAGAAATTGTTTTTAAAAAATGTCTATAACAGAGGATACGAATCAAAAAGGCAGCAACAACAACATTGGCGAGGTGGGAAAGGGAGCAGAGCCTCTCATTTGGGGCTGCTTAGCTCCTGGCACAGGCTCAGCAGCTGGAGAGCTGTCTCAAGGAACTTCAACATTTAGATGGGCTCCAAATCCTATGTCAAAATACAATCCTAATCTCTCTGATCAGGGTCAGTCAGAATCAGCAATCCTTTTCCCCAACGCCCTGCATAGAAAACTCCAATCTTTCCATGATAAGGAGTCTAAGCAAAGAGCCCCCACCTCTCACCTGGCACCAAAGTTAACTTGCTCTCACCCCACCACTTGGGACAGACATTGGGCCCCAGCAGACAAACCACCCCCTCCCAGACAGAAACCAGGATAGTTGCCAGCCTCAAGAAGCTGCTTCAGATGTTAAGATTTAGGAAATCCATACCAAGCTGCTATCCATAGTTCAACTTCTGGAGAAAATGCTGGAGTTGCATGAGAAACAAGTGCAGGCAGTTCAATAACCCTGTGACCACGCTGGAGAGGGCAGCAAAAATTCTTGTCCCTGAGCCCCATTCAACAGCTCAAAGTGCTTAGGAGAAGTCAGCAACTGTGTGGTTGGTTTGTGTGCTTCTGCCCTGTGGCAGCACTAAATGGGATGGGGGAAAGGAGAATGGAAGGAAGACAGTGTTGATGCCCTTCCCTACCGCCAGGAAGAGCCTAGAAGATAATCCACTCCCACCCTTCAGGGAGTTACCTGGCAGTGGTGAGTTGCCCCCACCCCTCAAGCCACCAAATCTGCAAAGCTAACCCATAAAGTAGCAAGGGCTTAGGGAGGGAGAACTGCTGGCCCATACTGACTCACCTGCTGATGAGCAAAAATAGGCAGCTAGAGTGGGAGCCACAAAGGAAGAAGGGCTAGGCAATAGGAGCTCCCCTACTGCCCTATGGCTTTCTTCTGTCTCTGCAGCAGCCATAATGATGGGCCCAGAAAACCCACACACCCTGCTCCATACAACAGACTGCTTGGACTCTAGGAGGATTACTGCCATGGAAAGCAACAAAGGAGAGCGAAAGCAACAAAAGAAACTGTTAAGAAAACTGAGAGCAGGCCTAGAGAAAACAAGGAAAGCTTCTGAATCTCTACCACCTTTCCAAAAAGGAAAAAATACATGCAGTTAGGAAAGGCAGGGTTTTTCCCTGCTCAGTGTTCTTGGTTAAACCTAAGAGTAAGAAAAATCCCCTGGACTTGCAGCATCAGTATGTATCCAAGTGCCTCACCAGCACAAGCGCCCCCCTCCCCCCAGGTTAGCCTTCTGGCATGGGTGAATGCCCAAGAAATTGCCTTCCAGTCTAATCCCCCCACCCACCCACGCCAACCCCAAGCAAAGGGCATCTGCCTGTGGGTTCCCACTTCTCCTCAGAGAAGAGGATCCTAGCAGAGTACCCACATGGTGTAGTCAGGTACCAGGGAGCACAATGCCAGACAGTCTATCAGGCCAGGAGATGGGCAGCCAACTTCAGATCAAAGACAGAGAGAGGCTTAATGTAAAAACCAATGTCATTTCAGCAGGAAAGTAGAGGGCAGGTGGTGAGAGGGGCTCCTACTGGCGCACCTTCCCCGGGAAGTAGTTCCTGTCAATTGCCTCCTCCTGCAGGAACATGTGTGGGCAGCGTTCATTCTGAGCCAGTGGGTGCCCAGCAATTTTGTTAATAAACTGCTCGAGGCCCTGCCTCCTTTCTTGGATGAAAGACTGTTCAAAGATCCCTTCATCTCCTCGGAAAGGGAGCTGCCGCTTCAAGGCTTTCCCAGGCAGTGGTGGTACTACAATCTTGCTATCTCGCTCCAGCTCATTTTTCAGCCACTCAAAGTCACTGTAGCGCCGCTGTAGGCAGGACTCCTTCAGCTTGAAGATAGGTAGGTTTGTCCCCATGCGAACCTCATAGGTGGTGAAGCGCCTGCGTCCCACGCCCACCGTCTGAGGATTAAAGATGTCGATCTCCAGGAAGTTACTTGGCGGCCCATAAGTGTAGGGCAGGTCCTGCGGTTTCGAGTTAAGGCACGGAGTGTCAGTTACTGCCCTGTCCGACATCTTTCCGAAGGAGAGCCTGGGACTGGGGAAGGGGGTTGGGGGACAGAGGCCTGAGGCAGGAGCGCGCACGGCCCCTCCCACTTGCAAAATAACCAGCCAACCCATAGGCGGCGGCGGCGGCGCGCACGCGCGCCCGGGCGTCTTGCTTTTCACCCAACCTGGAGTGCAGTGGCATGATCTCGGCTCACAGCAACTTCCGCCTCCAAGATTCAAGCAATTCTCCCGCCTCAGTCTCCTGAGTAGCTGGGATTACAGGCACATGCCACCATGCCTGGCTAATTTTTTGTAGAGATAAGGTTTCACCATGCTGGCCAGGCTGGTCTGGAACTCCTGACCTCTTGATCTGCCCGCCTTGGCCTCCCAAAGTGCTGGGATTACAGCGTGCTTGGCCTGTACTTTTCTTTAGTAAAATTCTTATTTTCTGATGCTTATGCCCCTTTAACTCAGGTTTTATCATACATCCTGCATCAGTATTTTCTTCTTAGTTATGTGTGTTTAGATTCTATTGCTTTGGGTTAGAATAAAGTCTCAAATTTTGGTTTGCGATCCATAAGGTTATTTCATGGCTGGACTTTGCCTTGTTTACATTTGTCCTTTCACTGTGAATAGCCTTTTTAAAATCTTTTCTACTGAGGCCACTGTAGAGTGTTATTTTCCCCATTCATTCATACTCACGAAGTGGTGAGAAGGGTTGGGGAGGTGGTATTGATGGTCTCTACAAAGTGATGCAGAAACCAGTGTACTTGTATCTATTAAAAAGTGACAGCAAAAAGTACAAATGACTCCCCCCACCCCCTTGAGCCATTTAAACATAAGCTTCCTACCTGAAGCCCTATGGCCTTCAGATACTTTAATACAGTAATTCCCAAACTTTCTGCCACCAGGGACTGGTTTTGTGGAAGACAGTTTTTCCGTGGACTGCAGTGCAGATGGAGATGGTTTTAGGATGAAACCCTTCCACCTCAGATCATCAGGCATTAGATTCTCATAAAGTGTGCGCAACCTAGATCCTTCATGTGCACAGTACACAATAGGGTTCACTCTCCTATGAGAGTCTATTGCTGCTGGTGATCTGACAGGAGGCGGAGCTCAGGCAGTAATGCTGACTTGCCTGCTGCTCACCTTTTGCTATGCTACCCAGTTCTTAACTGGCCATAGACTGGTACTGGTCCATGGTCCAGGGGTTAGAGACTCCTGCTTTAATGTATATTTCTTGGAAACAAGAACATTTTCCTGTATAATCACAGAATAAGCATCTGCATCATGAAATTAACATGAGTAAATTACTACCACCAAATCCTCAGACCCCATTCAAGTTCCTCCGTCTGACCAATAATATCTTTTCTTTTTTTTTTTAGTTGTCAAATGATCCTTTATTGAAATATTTTCCTTTGTGCTTCTTAACTAGCTGGCCATTCTGCCACACCACTGTTTATGTCGTCTACGATGTCATGAGGGTGACGGCCATCAGCATTGCAGCCCACAGACTAGGCAGTCCCCAGGATCTCTTTAATGGTTCCAGAGAGTTCTCTGGCTAAAGATCGGTGCCCCATCTGTCGAGCAATGTTGACAGTCTCATCAAAAGTGATATTTTCACCTTGTTTAATATTTTCCTGTTTCTTTCTGTCTCCTGGCGGTTCCTTGAGGGCTTTGATGATCAGTGCAGAAGGAGAAGGTGCCACATCAATCTGGGCCTGTCTATTCTGAATAATCAGTTTCACTGTAATTCTCAGACCCTTCCAGGTACTGGTTGCCTTGGCAATATTATCACCAACCTTTTTTGGAGACAGACCCTGGGGGCCGATCTTGGGGGCCAGTGCAGACATGGCGTTGACTTTACCTCGGTACACCTCAGATATACAACTTTTATCTCATTGGGGTGGAACTTCAGCAGCATGGTGGAGGCAGCTGGTGTCAGATGAACCTGGATTTGGTACAACCAAAGAGAGTTACACCTTGGCCTCTTCTGAGCCAAAAACTGAAGGCAATAATATCTTCTATAGTAAAAAGATCCATGTTAGAATGACACGTTGGTTTTATCATGTACTTTAGTCTCTTCAGTCTTCTGGCCAGTGAGTGCTCCTTCAAACAGACTCCTGTGCTTTTTTCTTCTATCTCTCATAATTCTTTGAACACTCCCTTGCTCTTTTGTACAAGATGTTTTAGTCTTATCTTTCATTTTTTTCTGCCCTAGGCCTGGAATGAGTGATTTCTCCTAGAGCCCTTGTTCTTTTTATTAGGAATTGCTGTTTCAGAGCCAAGTTTTAGGGGCTAGATGTGTTCACTGCTGTTGAAAAGTTGCTGCTCACAGACATCTTCAGTGATGAGAACTGGGGAATATATATACACACATATATACTTGCACACACATGTATCAATATTTATGTCCACATTATTTATATATTTTGAAAACCATGAATTCACACTAATGCCACCAATTCCATCCTAACACCACAGGATTCAATTCTAGTTTTTTCCCTTTCTATATTTGCAACCTCCGTCTCTGATGGTGATAAACCTGACTTCCATTATTATGCTTAAAATATTTACAGTTATGCATTATTTAACAATGGAGATACATTCTGAGAAATGTGTTAGGTAATTCCATTGTTGTGCAAGCATCATAGAATGTACTTACACAAACTTAGATGTTGTAGCCTACTATATACCTAGGCTATGTGGTATTAGCCTATTGCTCTTAGGATACAAACCTGTATAGCATGTTACCTTATTGAATACTGTAGGCAATTATAACAATAATGATATTTGTGTATCTAAGCATATCTAAATATAGAAAAGGTAATGCACTGCTCTATGATATGACAGTTACGACATCATTATGTTACTAGGCAATAGGAGTTTTTCAGCTCCATTATAATCTTAAGGGACCAGTTTTATATGCAGTCAGTCATTGACCAAAATGTTGTCATATGGTGCATGACTGTTCTTATTTGATTAACTTCATTCTTTGTAACCCACTTCACTTCTGCCACCATATCCTTTTCCACATTGATGTCTTTCTCATCCTACTTGGGCTCTGAAACCTCTACACCATTAATGCATGGATTATTTGAAGGATGATTTATGGAGATGATCTGGGACATCTTAATCTTAATAATACAGATGCAGTATAAATATTCTAAGACTTAACATGTATCTGTTTTGTTTTGTTTTGTTTTTTCTTTTTTATGGAGTCCTGCTCTGTCACCCATGCTGGAGTGCGGTGGCGCAATCTTGATCTCAACTCACTGCAACTTCTGCCTCCTGGGTTCAAGTGATTCTTTGAGTAGCTGGGATTACAGGCACACACCACCATGCCTGGCTAATTTTTGTCTTTTTAGTGGAGATAGGGTTTCACCATGTTGGCCAGGCTAGTCTCGAGCTTTGATCTCAAGTGATCCACCTGCTTTGGCCTCCCAAAGTGCTGGGATTACAGGCGTGAGCCACCGTGCCTGGCCAGGCATATATCTGCTTTATTATCAAAATGAATGACATTAAAAAATCATGAAAAATGCTTACCTGTGTGTAATAAGCTTTATAGGATCTAGATCATTTAGTGTGATTAATATGGAAGCTTGGAACTAGAAGTGTGCAGAAAGCTGAAAGCTTCATTTTTTTCAAACAATATTTCAAAAATTTGGTGTAAACTCTGATTTTTAGGGAATCCCAATTAGATTATTTTAATGGTCAGTTTATATGATAGTGTTTAATTATAATCAGTCATGAAAGTGCACAGCAACTAATGTTGGAAGGATTTGTAAGAATCCTGAGATAGCTCAATCCTAAAGATTCAAGAAGCATCTATTTCAAAATTATTTGAAAAGGGAAAAACATTGTTTATTTAGAAAAAAATAGCACATATGATACTATGTTTGTGGTGTATTTGTAGAGATAAAGAATTTACTGTCCTTTAACAGAATCTCATTAAGGGTTCTAGGTATCCAGGACTTTTTTTTTTTTTTTTTGTAATTAGGGTCAGGCTGAAAAAAAAACACATTTGTAAATCTGTTGATGTATTAGTTTTCTCTCATTGCTGTGACATATTACCACAGTTAGTAGTTTAAAATAGCATCTATCTTACCATTTTGAAGCTCAAGTCCAAAATGTGTCCCACTGGGGCAAGGCTGTGTTCCCCTGGATGCTCTAGGAAAGCATCTAGACCTCTGTTCATCCATTCACTTGGACTTTTACTGTTTGGCAAAGCTGTAGTATATTTTATAAGCAGAAAAATTAGATGCTATAGGATCAAGGTCATAGAGATTATTTAGTCTTATCCATTTATTTCATAAAGATACTGAGGCCTAGAAAGGTAAAGTGACATAGTCACTCTAGCAGTACAGTGTAATTAAAAATCGGAACAACTGACTCCCAAGTCATTGTTTTTACTACCACCATAGATTTATACTGGGTTTCTCCTTTAAGGTAAAGAAGAACCTGTTTAGCGCTGTTCTCTGTTTTCTGTCTGTTACCAAAAGACTCCCTTTTGGATAATGGTTCACTTGGACTCTTGTTGGAGAAACCTTTTTTGAAAACCAAGCATTCAGATTATCTGCTTCCACACTTGTTTTTATCTCTGTACCAAACTATAGTAGAGTCTGAGAAAAAACAAAAGGAGAAAAGGCAGTATATGGAGGGTTTTCTATATATGTTTCTTTTTGGTTCATTCATTTATGTTCAGCTTGCTTTTAAAAATTGCTTTCTATTTGCTACGGCTGGAAGAATGTTGAATGCTTTAGGAAAGGGCGGGAGGGATTGTGGAGTGTATGAGGAGCTATGAGAAGGCCAGGATATCCTGAGCACTGACTCAGAGGAAAGAAGTGGCAGGAGAAGAGGCTGTCAGTACAAAGCTTTCAAAGAGCTTGAAGGATTTGGATCTTTGCCTTAGAAATTGAAGGCAAGCAGTTGGAGAATTTTAAACTCCAAAAAATTTAGTTCAGTTTACATTTTTAAAATGCTCTGTATGAAGATTGAATTAGGGGGGAGCTAGACAGGATCATGGAAGCTAATATTCAAGTGAGCGGTGGTAGTAGCTTATGACATTGTGGTGGCAAAAGTGGAGTTCTGAAGG